ATAATGTCAACCCATTCATGACTGCATATTAGAATGGCTAGTTGGACATTTATTGGACAATGACATCAGTTGTTTACTTCTCAACATTGGCAAATATCAAACATTTCCCCTACTTTGAGCTCCATTTCCAGGTTCTTTTCATAGGGAAACCAATCAGAATCACCTCTATTTCTATAATATGTTTTCCATTCTATCAAATGAGACCAAGAAAACGAGAATACAACCATAAATACTGTATGAAAATTGACCACAAAGTTGGCATTTTAATTAAAAAAACGGTCAGTTTTTTTTTTCTCATTATGCACTGCGTGCTCCAGGATTTTTTTATATGGTGCGCACTGACCACACAGACCCATTCTCTCACATGTGGGCCTACCAGTTTTCTCCTGCTTGATTTCAAGCCGCTAGAATTTATGAGTATATATATGTCACCCTGCCTCGGTGGGAGACGACCGACTTGTTGAAAAAAAAAAAAAAATATGTCAAACACGGTGGCTCATAAGACGTATATATACGACTGAAACGGTCAAAGGGTTAAACCATTAACAATAACAGTGCCCTAACCATCCTCCCATGGGATATGCACTGAGATGTTAATCTTCTGCATATTTCAAGGATTTAAAGCGTACTTGCTGTTGTAATAACCCTCACATAGTCATTAGGTCTTAAACTTAACAAACCAACCCTTTTGTTGGTCAGTTAGCATATATGATTACATTTTGCCCAAATATGAGAAAAACTTATCAGGGTTTGTTGGTAACTACACTAGTCTCTGACTGTCCATTGAATGACTTTCCATGCTTTTGCTTATTCATGCTTTTAACAGTCCTACCTGGTCTTGCTAACCAGTCATACAGTCTTGTCATCAGCAGTCTTGTTATGTCTATGGGTGCTGAGGGTGTATAGTAATAAATGCTGGAATGTATAAATGGCTTGTATGTTTAGTAAGGTTAGGTTAGGTTAAGTAGGGTGTGTGTTAGACTTTGATATGATTCTGATGTCTGACTTTTGCTGTATGATAATTGTTTTGGGATGATTTGTGACTGTTGTTCTGTATGCACATACATCACATGTGAGATATGAATATGCAAGTGTGACATACTGTACTTTACTGTGCAAGGTAAGTTGTGTAACTCAAGGTAGAGTACAGTAGGGTGTCCCAGAAGTCTGAACCCATAGGGAAAATATACTTTGTACAATTAATTCATTTACTATTTAAATTGAATGCCATTAAGAGCCAAACATACTGACTATAGTGCAAATGTTTTGTGGATATTTAAATAAGAGAGAGTGCATTCCAGTTGTTTTCCTTCAGTGACACAATACAGTTTAACTCTTGGGATACCCTTGTATATACATAACAAATCTGTATCCTATCCACTGGTTTTAAGACTGACAAATTCTGCATGAGTTATTTTTTTTTTTTTTTTTTTCAACAAGTCGGTCGTCTCCCACCGAGGCAGGGTGACCCAAAAAAGAAAGAAAATCCCCAAAAAGAAAATACTTTCATCATCATTCAACACTTTCACCACACTCACACATTATCACTGCTTTTGCAGAGGTGCTCAGAATACAACAGCTTAGAAGCATATACGTATAAAGATACACAACATATCCCTCCAAACTGCCAATATCCCGTTTTTTCAACATTTGAAAGTACATATGTAAAAAAAGTAGATCTTTTTGTTTTTTTACATTTGAAAATGTGTAAAAAAAACTTTGATCTACTTTTTTTTTTTTTGTTATACTATTTGAAAATATGTAAAAAAAAGTAGATCTACTTTTGTAGCACTACACATGTGAACGTAGATCTGCTTGGACCGTTTATGGGTTAAGACAGTTGAGTCAAAATTTGAGTTGAGGAGATATAATGTGTGTCCTCAGCAAAAAGTATGTATTGACTCAAGTTGTTGTGTCCTAATTAGAATAAGTCACTGATATAAAGGACAGATAGGTGACAAGGGCCAAAATTAATCATTTGTTTTTATTATTATTATTATTTTTATTATTATAATATTCTTGAGGGGCACTAACCTCTAAGGGGTTACACAGCGTATAGGGAATAATCAGGTTATATGCAGGTGTCTGTATCCAAGATTGGATGAAATAGTATCAGTAACATCTCAGTCATTTTTATGAAGTGCTGTGCAAGTTATGTAGTAGAATATTTAATATATTTATTATGGGATCATTTGTGCACTTGGAGTCTGAATCCATATAGTGCCAAAACAAAAGCATTCACATTGCTAAACTCACAAACTAGTATTTAGTCACTTAGCCATAATACCAACTTACCTCATAATTTTGTAATATTTTAAACTTAAGATTTAATCTAAGTCTGCCCTTTTGAAATGCCTAGCCATGCTAGGTGTTCTAGTGGTACACTCTGTAATTATTATTTTACTACATGTAAACCACACAATAACCAAATTCTGTAAACTCAGCATTGTAATCCTTACAGAGAATACTGGCATGGATGAAATATGTTATTTAGTTATACAGTATACATTTATGTATAGGAGGGCCTCACTTATACAGCAGGTTAGGTTCCAGGCTACTGCTGTAAAGTGAAATGTAACCCCTTTTTATTTTCACTTTTAAATGCATATAAAAGCCTGATAACATATTTACACTATCATATATTAAGTGAGCAATAGAGCTAGGTGTAAAAAATGCACATACTGCACACACATTACTCAAAATATTTTCGTCCCTAGCTTATAGAAAGTGGTGAATAGATTTATTGTAGGAGGTCTAAGTAAATGAAGAATGTGTATAATTGAAAACCGCTGCGTTAGCGAAACACTCTAAAGTGAAGTATTGTAAAAGGGGGCCCTCCTGTATTTTTCAATTTTTTTTTGACAGTATTGGGAAGTTTGATATTCTCTTGTGATTGTTTGTGTCTGAGTGGTTTATGAGGTGAACCATAGAATTGAAGTAGGTGGTCGGTGCATTGAGGCATCTGTGTAGACAAAGAATTTTATCCATGTAGGCCAAAAATTTGAAAATACAGGAGGGCCCCACTTTACAATGCTTTGCTTTACAGCATTTCACTAATACAGTGGTTTTCAGTTATACCCATTCTTCATTTATTAAGCCTTCCTACAATAAAAATATTCACCACTCACTATAAGTTAAGGCTGAAAATATTTTCAGGTAGGTAATATGTATACTATACAGTGGACCCCCGCTTAACGATCACCTCCCAATGCGACCAATTATGTAAGTGTATTTATGTAAGTGCGTTTGTACGTGTATGTTTGGGGGTCTGAAATGGACTAATCTACTTCACAATATTCCTTATGGGAACCAATTCGGTCAGTACTGGCACCTGAACATACTTCTGGAATGAAAAAATATCATTAACCGGGGGTCCACTGTATATGCATTTTTTAGGCCTAGCTCTGTTGCTCACTTAATATATGATAGTGTAAACATGTTATCAGGCTTTTATATGTATTTGAAATTGAAAAAAAGTTATGTTTCACTTTACACTGATTTTTTGCTTTACCTACTGTATAAGCAGGGCCCTCCTGTACTTGGAAAGACTGATTTGTTTATTGTTTGGTGTTTTACTTAATTTGAGTGTTTTCACAGTGCTTTTTTTGTGTTTTTGTTTAATTTAAGTAGTAAATATATGTTTGGATTAGATTAGTAAATATTGCCCAGTATTTTTAATAGTATTGGCATGCCTCTGCCAAGACAGAAATGGAGTGAGTGATGATGAAAATGTTTCTGCCTTGGTGGGAAATGACTGATGTGTTAAAAAAATTAATTGGTACAGTATTTAAGTGATTAGTCCTAGCTTGTGTTTTTTTTTTTTTGTCTTTAGATTGTTTTTGCTTTCTTGTTGTCCTTATGTCTTAAGCTATAATGTAGTTGTTTATTGATACTGTACTGGAGTATGGAGTTGGGATTTGATTTTATGGGTTGCTAATTTTGTTGTTTGTGATGTTTGTAATAAGGAAGGTTGGGTGCTGGTCTGTTGTCTTGTTGGTAACTATGCCTGTTTTCAGTGAGGCAGTTTTATTTGGCTGTATTTGGTGTATTGTAGAATCAGGTGTCTCAATTATTCTTGTAGGTTTACTGATTAAAAGTACAGTATTGACAAGCAGGGGTAGTTACCATTAACAAACAGGAGTACATACCATTGTATTTAGGAAGCTCAAGACTTGGGTGCTATTGGATTGGCATAGGTTAATAAAGTTGCCAGCATTTACTAGGTGGTGTTTGTCAAGTTTTTATGGTAAAGTTTCTGTGGAAGTTAGTACAATATGAGGAATTTTATATAGAGCTCAAATTGTCATTGAAATCTTTACATTATTAATAATCACTATAGAGAGTATATCTCCATATGTTTATAATATGCTTTCATTGTATCTCATTAGTATAGTAGATTGCAATACCTCTCCTTTTTTATTAGGTCTACAACAGTGTATAGCTGTTTATCCAGGTATGTTAAATATGTTACGTATATCATGCTTTAACCAAATCTCTGTTAGAATAATGAATAAGAGGTTGGCAGTTAATGACCAGAAGTGTATTATTTATCTTTGTGTTTGGTTAGAGATTTGTCATTTTGATTGAACACAGTTCTACTTTTGTTATTACTTTTGTTAGGAAGGTTTGCTCTTTCATAACTGTTTGTTGCTTTGATAACTTCTGCTTCATAGCAAGGTAGTACAAGGAAAATGTTTTCCATACAGCATTGTGGTCTCCAGCACATCTTTGCATATCCTTAAGGACCAGTGAATAAGATTTGTGTGTATGGCCAATATTTAGGACTTCTTTTGCAAGTCTGTGAGAGGGTAATACATAGAAATTTTTATTACCAAAGAATCAAAATTTAATTTGCTCTAATATACATTTCATTTGATCAGATGACACAAAAAATATTCTTCTAGTTCATCCAATGTTAAGGTCTGTTTTCAATTCTCTTTTTAGAATTGTAGCCCTCGAAATGTAATGTTCTAGATATCTTTTATTGTTTCTTCCTTCAGAACATGATCCAAATCCCTTGATGAGTCTCAACAAGAGGAAGCGTCGACCAACGGGAGACAGTCTCCCAGATGTGAAAGATGATGTTCCAAAATCCAAAGGAAAGAAATCGAGGACAATTTCAGGCAATAATAATGAGAATGAGAAAAATTCAAATAACCAAAATGATGAAAATAACGAAGTGGAGAAGGAAAATAAGAAGAGCTCTGTTAATATAAAAAACAAGAAGAAAGAAAACGAAGAAAATGGAAATACGAAGGTAAACAGAAAAATGGATAAAAAGAAACACAAAAAACATAAGCACACTGAATCATCTCCACACCACCACCATAAACACAAAACTAAACATAAACACAAACATCGGGAGGGTGATAGGCCTCTACCACATGTAGAACCCGGGGTGAACGAACTTACTGTGAGGATCAAATCTCCACCGCCTCCCCTTGGGGAGACCTGGAGACCCTCATACCGTGAAAAATCAGAATCTGAATTGGATAGTTCCTCATCAAAGAACCCATCAGAGGATGAATCTGAGAATAGTGATTCTGAATACACACCTAAAAAGGAAATGGTAAGTAGCATCTAAAATACATAAAGTATATATCACTCATGTGATTAAAGATAACCAATTTGGGCTTTATAGTAGTACTAACACTTTTTAGTTAATTAATTTACAATTATTTTCGTTAGTTTAGCCTTAAACCCTCTCCGAAACACTTTATCAGTTTATGTCCCCAAGTTTACCCACACTCATTTACACTTGTCAAAATTTTTGATCAAACAATATATTTGTCTTACATTGTTTCAATCTCTTATTAATGTCAGTATTTTAATATTTTATTTGCTATTTTCTATATATGCTGTATATTTGTTCAGGATTTTTAGCACGGCTTTATTGACTTGTTAATTTTTTTCTTGTTTTTAATACAGATTTTCAATGCCTCTTAATTTCTCAAATACTAATTTTTTTATTGTCAGCAAGAGTTAATGTTATAATTGTTTTTAATAAGATGGATTCTTTAATATTCATGTATGTGTTTTTCTGATTTAAGCATTTTGTAAATGTAAATATTGTTATATCATCTTTAACAGTATTGTATTATTATATGACAATCATTTCAGATGGAAAGATCATTACTGTATTTTATTGTGCATTACTGTATTTTATTGTACATTACTATATTTTCCTAACATCACTATTTTAATATACATGTATGTGAATTATTATTATTATATTCATAAGAAATGCTAAACTCTTCAGGGTTATACAGTACCTGGGTAATGGGAGGTAATAGTTTGAACCAGTGAAGGGAAGGGTAGCTCCAACTCCTTGAATTAAGAGCCTTTCTACAGAATCAGAGCAACCTTTTCCCCCCATCTCCCTTGAAGGTCTAGGGTATATGAGAAGTACAGGGTGTCCACAAAAACACGCCCCAATTTCAAACAGGTATAACATGTAACATTATTGTAATAATCTTTCACAGTTAGTAGCTTCAGATGCAGGATTTCATTCAGTTTTATGTGGTATAGGGTAGCATTAAAGGCACTCATTGTGCACCCTTCTGGTTGCTCAGCAAACATCGATGCGATAATCCAGTTCAGTCTAAACGCTCTGCAGCATATCTGGAGTTGTCATGCGAACTGCTTCAGTGATCAAAATTTTCAGCTCCTCCAGGGTTGCAGATAGTGGTGGTATGTAAACTGTGCTCTTCACGTATCCCCAAAGAAAGAAGTCACAAACAGTTAGCCCCAGTGACCTCAGCAAATGGCCTGCGAAGTCACCGGACCTAACTGTTTGTGACTTCTTTCTTTTGGGGTACGTGAAGAGCACAGTTTACGTACCACTGCTACCTGAAACCCTGGAGGAGCTGAAAATTTTGATCACTGAAACAGTTCGCATGATAGCTTCAGATATGCTGCAGAAGGTCTGGACCGAACTGGACTATCGCATCGATGTTTGCCGAGCAACCAGAGGGGTGCACAATGAGTGCCTTTAATGCTACCCTATACCACATGAAACTGAATGAAATCTTGTATCTGAAGCTACTAACTGTGAAAGATTATTACAATAAAGTTGCACGTTATACCTGTTTGAAATCAGGGAGTGTTTTTGTGGACACCCTGTAAATAATAATGCAAGACAAAGTGTTGTATAATTATTCTCGGTAACTGTTTTCAAGCACTACAGGATACCTTATACAGTGGACCCTCCTTTTTCGTTGGGCTCTGTTTTCACGAATTTCAGTTATCACTGACTTTTTTCGTAAAAATATTGGCTCAGTTTTCGCTGCTTTCCTCCGTTATTGTCGGTGGTATGGAACATGTCTGAGTGTGCCCACTTGCACACAACCTCCCACACACACATTCTGAGGGAGTGTCACTTTGTTTCTCAGTGAATGAACATTATCCTGCTAGATCATAGGAAACATTTCGTAATAATTCATTGTTTCTTGCACTTGTTTATTCTGTGTGACTGTGAAATAAGCCACCATGGGCCCAAAGAAAGCTGCTAATGCCAGTCCTTTGGTAAAGAAGGCGGGAAACAATAGAATTAAAGAAAAAGATTGTAGAAAAATATGAAAGTGGTGGTGGTAGAGGGTGGTAGTGGTCATGATGGTGGTAGTGGTTGTGATGGTGGTAGAGGGTGGTAGTGGTTGTGATGGTGGTAGAGGGTGGTAGAGGGTGGTAGTGATGGTGGTAGAGGGTGGTAGCAGTTGTGATGATGGTAGAGGGTAGTAGTAATTGTAATGGTGGTAGCAGTTGTGATGGTGGTAGAGGGCAGTATGATGGTAGAGGGTGGTAGCAGTTGTGATGGTGGTAGAGGGTGGTAGTAGTTGTGATGGTAGTAGTGATAGTGGTAGAGGGTGGTAGTGATGAGGGTAGTGGTTGTGATGGTGGTAGAGGGTGGTAGTGAGGGTGGTAGTGGGTAGAGCTGCAAGGGCTCTCTGGACAGTTTTTTTGTGCGACAGGGGTCCAGTGACTCTTAAGCTGGTCCTAGTGCCATTAAAAAACAAAGAAGGGAAGTAACCCAGGATAAGGACTTGGTACCTGAAATCTTTATGGAAGAGGATTCCCCTTAATGAGAGATGGTGAAAGGTCTATGTGAGAGACGATGAAAGCTCTATGTGAGGGATGATGAAAGCTTTATGTGAGAAATAGTGAAAGGGTTAATCTCTGGCTCTGATCTCCTAACAGATCCTGCTTGAAATCACTGCCTCAGTTACATCATCCACATATAAGAATCTCAAAACATTCTAGCTTTCCAGTATATACTTTTTTCAATTTAACAAGTCACCACTTTCATTCTTAATTCCAAAGCTCATCTGTTTCCTCCAAAACTGTTTACTTATTCCCACCAAAATTTGCTGATAAAGGCTCATGTTCTGATTTACTATCATTTTGCACTCTCTCACCCTTCTGAGGTTTAACCATCTTTCGATACATGACAGAGGCAGAGACCAAGTGTGCTCCCCTTTCTAGGATAATGATGGAATACAGGAACATGTGGATCTTCATCTCCACCACCTAATTAGGAGGAAAAAGGGAGGGCAGATTGCTGGGAGAGACAGATTGCTGGAAAGGTTTAGTAGCTCAACAGAGGTACAATAAAATTTTATCTGAAGAATAGGCCTGGAGCAGTGAAGGACTAGCAAAAAGAATTCTTCAATGGTTTAAGGGAACCTTCCGGTGTGAATATCGACTTTTTTATTTTTCAACCGATTACGTTCATTTTTGGTGTACTATTAGAAGCTTATATAAAACATCCTGTGCTGAAGTTTCAATCATATCGGCCAAAAAGTAAATGAAATATGCAAAATTTACGAAAAATTGCATTTGGCAGGGGAGTCCTTCTCAGTGGTACTTGGAAAAGTGGTTTTGACACTTGCTGCTGATAGAACACCTCTAATTCCATCATGAGATAGGTACCTTTTCTAAAATAAACCTTATCTTCATGCTAAAAAAAAATAAGTTTCATAACTTTTTTGTCATATTGGAAGATGTCGGTCTTGTTTCCCACATAAATCTAAAAATATTTGGGATAGTTCAGAAAGGAACGTATGGTCGTGTAAATCAATCATTCTCCTATGTTTGTTGTGAAAATCAAGTCAATTCATTCATAAATAAGGATGCATTCCCCCTAAATAGGTAAATAAGTTACTTTCGAGATATAGGCCGAAGCGCGCGGCACCCCCGCTGCCCGGGAAATAATTTTTTTCCCCGAAAAATTCGCCTTATTTTACACTTTTTCCGCGACCTACGAGTGTTTATTACAGTTAACCATTGTAAATCCGTTTTCTCTGATCACTGATGAGAGAGAACGGACCCTCTCTTCACCTTCAGGGGAAATATCGATAGAAATTTTTTGCCTTGGGCGTCATATTATGCTATATATTTTTTTTTAAGTGTACTTTTTATGTTTATATGCTATTATTATATTGCATTATGTCATAATAATCAATTGTGATAGATAAAAAAGGGCCTTATAATTATATTGGATGGGTATGGAATATTTATTGAATATTTGTTGGCTGGAGGTGTCGGCCATTTTGGGAATATGACCCGGGGTAACTGACTGGTTACTTGATCATAATTAGCTCCGCCCACTCTGGCATGATCTCAATGGTGAATTGTAATTATTTAGACATAAAGATATAGATCACGATAAAATAACACGGGATAAAACGTAACAAAAGTCAAAAGCTGAGTTCTCAAACGTTTCTTACGCAATATTTGCGTCAGCAGCTGTTACCATGCCTGTTCATAATGAGTTGTAATTCTTTTAGAAACATCGACAAGATAATGTGCTTTTACTGGGATGAGGGAATACCGGGAAAGTTCTCATCTACCTTTAGGTAACAATGGACTCAATTGCTAACAGATTGTGTTTTAGTTCGTTTTTTCTAAAAAATCCGGCGAGCGTGAACACGAATCTGGTTCTTAACTGTCTACTGCCATGTCAGAAGCAATGTGGGGCTCTTTGGTTGGGTGTTGTAGGGCAGGGACATGTGAACCTCTGCCTGCACCATGGTACCAGGAGCAAAAGAGCTCTGGAAAGGATCATTAGCTGAAGATAAGTTAGATAGAGTACTGGTCTCCCTCAACATTTGCGAGGGTTAGGGGATCAAGAACCTCGTGAATGTTGAAAAATCACGAATGTTTGGTGCCCCAATATATTGTAGGGAAATATAATACACCTAGGTAGTGGGTTGGTAGAAAGCAACCGCCCAGGGAGGTACTACCGTCCTGCCATGTGAGTGTAAAACTAAAGCCTGTAATTGTTTTACATGATGATAGGATTGCTGGTGTCCATTTTTCTGTCTCATAAACATGCAAGGTTTCAGGTACGTCATGCTATTTCTACTTACACTTAGGTCACACTACACATACATGTACAAGCATATATATACACACCCCTCTGGGTTTTCTTCTATTTTCTTTCTAGTTCTTGTTCTTGTTTATTTCCTCTTACCTCCATGGGGAAGTGGAACAGAATTCTTCCTCTCTAAGCCATGTGTGTTGTAAGAGGACTAAAATGCCAGGAGCAAGGGGCTAGTAACCCCTTCTCCTGTA